GATATGTCTCTCCATGACACCCTTGCAAACTTGCACCGTTGGCCTTATGACAGGCAGACCATGGCTTTTGTCAAGACTTGACTGGGCCGCCGTCAAGACTTGAGCCCTACCGAGTCCTGCTGCTCCGGGCTGGTCACTTCGTCTTGCCAATGTGCTGGTCGTGGCTCCTCCGCCAGGCCGCAGAGAGCTGCACCTGGACACTTGGGCCTATACAATACAATACTCGGCTCCGTCCAAACGCCAGTCTCCAGTCTCCAGTCTCCGTGGCTGTCGGGGTGTCCCATTTGCAGAATACTAGCGGTGGCTTGCTCTTCTACCGGTCTGGTCCTGGTCGGTCCTGGTCGGTCCCCTCCATTCTTTAAACTTAAACTGGTACTTCCGCCCCGAAAACTTGTCGACCGTCAGTGCGAGCAGTCAGTTCTCTCTTTTACTTACCTTCAACTTCCTTCTTCTGGATCGTCATCTCGTCCACCGGTCCTCTCTGGTTACACCTTGTATGTTAATTTATTGTCCCGGCCGAGGTCGTGGGCGCCGACGTCTGGCTACACCAGCATTGTACTCCTCCTGGGCTCCTGGCTCAGGCCAATGACATTTGGATCTGCAACATAGCAGAGGTGGAAGGAGTCTTATCGGCATCCCATGTACGATTGTTTCGGCCTCAACTACAAGAGAAATTGTCTTGTTGGCAAACAGCTTAGGTTGGCCACGGCCCGGCAATAGCTATATCGGAGCCGCTCAGCGGTATCCTGATCAAGGCGCCTGCGAAATCATGTCTGGCAGCCAGCCTCGCATCAACTCACACCATGGTCAGCATGTTCAGCAAGCGCTTCTTGACCCTGCCGCGTCGCACCGCATATATCACAACCAGAGCGCCGGAGCCTTAAATGGCAATTCGCCTGTTATCATGGACGGCTCTCCGTTTCCTGACTTTTCCTTTCCCTTCGGCGGCTTATCGGACCAGGACCCCATGATGGGTATGCCGGAAGCTGGCTTTGGCAACCCCCCGAACCCAGATTTTCCCCATATTCATGGACTTAGCAGTGCTGGAACTCCCGTCGGACACTCACTAGCTACCCTGCCAGGCTTGCCCGGATCGTCCTTTGGTCCAGAGCCAAGTGACCGCAGTGCTAGCTTGGAGATGACAGAGGATGTCATACGTGATCGAAATTCCCCAGCTGATAATTCGTTTGAAGATGCTGGAACCGATGAATTTGGCTTGCCAGGGAACCTTCGGGCTGATGGCACGGATCTTGGAGGCAAGAACAAGGATGATAAAGCAGGACATCCACCAGCTTGGAGCGAGCTGAAAACAAAGGCAGGCAAGGATCGCAAGAGACTACCTCTCGCTTGCATTGCTTGTCGACGCAAGAAAATTCGTTGCTCTGGAGAAAAGCCGGCTTGCAAGCATTGCCTTAGATCACGCATTCCCTGTGTGTATAAAGTCACAACCCGAAAAGCTGCACCACGGACAGACTACATGGCCATGTTGGATAAGCGGCTGAAGCGGATGGAAGACCGAATTATCAAAATTATCCCCAAGCCAGATCAAGACACAGTATGTGCCGTTACTCGAGCAGTTGTCAAACCAGCAATTCCTGGCACGAATCAAGGAAGCAAAACGGCATCTAAAAAGCGTGGCGCCGATGAGGCCTTTGGTGCTGATCTAGAAGCGTGGGCAAAAGGACCACCCAGAGTCAAGGCCAGAGGAGATGGGGTCGACGATGCGTCCCCGTCCCCAGACGACGGCGAGTCTGACGAGAACTTGTTGTTTCAGGAAGGCACTGATGCTCTTCCGTCGAAAGAGGTTCAAGAACATCTTGCAGAAGTGTTTTTCGACAATGTCTATGGCCAAGCGTACCATCTGCTTCACAAACCAAGTTATATGCGCAAGTTGAAGTTAGTTTTTGCCTGGAATCGCCTCTGTATTCCACCATCGAAGGATATTTTGCATACTAACGCATCTGAGACAGGAACAATACTCTCCCCCCCGTACTGATTCTTTCCGTTTGTGCTGTAGCCGCACGTTTTGCGCCACAATCCAATATTCGCCCCGACGCAAGACCTTTTCTACGAGGTGAGGAGTGGGCATCATGTGCCCGAGACATCTGTACGAGGCGATATGAATGGCCGAATACGACTATCTTAACTTGTCTTCTCATCTTAGGCCTGCACGAGTTTGGAACGTGTCACGGTGGGCGTAGCTGGGCATTGGGCGGCCAAGCAATCCGCATGGCGTTCGCTCTTCAGCTTCACAAGGACTTGGAATTCGACCCATCCAGACGGGGCAATAAGACACCTCTCAGCTTCATCGACCGCGAAATTCGACGACGCATCATGTGGGCATGCTTCTTGATGGACCGTTTTAACTCTTCCGGCTCTGATCGACCTACCTTTATCAAGGAAGAGTCTATCAAGATCCAACTTCCTGTTAAGGAAAGTTATTTTCAGCTAGATATGCCGGCCCAAACAGAGTGTCTCGATGGCTCCTCGCCCCTCTCTGATTCTCCAGGTAGCGAGCACAATGTCCAGGCCAAGGAACACATGGGCGTTGCGGCGTACACAGTTCGCGCTATAGCCATCTGGGGTCGTATCGTTGCGTATCTCCACCAAGGTGGGAAAGAGATGGATTCATACCCCTTGTGGAGCGAGACGTCAAACTATACGAGTCTGGTTCAACAAGTAGACGAACTGCAGCGTACGCTTCCCGATTCGCTGCAATATTCTACAGACAACCTGAGCTTGCACTCGACTGAGAAAACAGCCAGCCAGTTTTTACTAATGCATCTGTCAATTCAGCAAAATATACTATTCCTTCATAAGGCGCCTATTGCCTGGGCAAATAACGCGGGTGGTAATGACGCTCCCCCCGAATTTTTGGCACAAGCCAGTGCCAGGACGGTTGTGGCTGCGAATCGGATCTCTGAGATACTACGGGATGCTGAACATGCCAAGTGCAATGTGACGGCTCCATTTGCAGGCTACTGTGCCTTCTCCGCCACCAATATTCACATTCTCGCAATATTCTCTGGCAATGCAGCAGTCAAGGCGACTGCTGAGGTTAATGCCGGCATCAGCATCAAGTTCCTACGAAAAGCGATGCGATACTGGGGCATGTTCCACTGGATGGTGGAAAATATTCGAACTCAGTACAGAAATGCCTTGGAGGCATCACGATGTGGGAGGCTTGGTGCACAAGGATCTACATCATGGCCAATTTTACAGTATTCAGACTGGTTCAACCGATATCCTCACGGCGTCAGTGAGTTCGATGTTGCAGAACCTACATATCAGCGAAGAAGGGACAAGGGTGAAGACGCTGTATTGGAACAGAAACCAGAGCTGCAATCTGTCGAAGACTTCTTCACTAGTTTAGCTTCTCCATCCAGTACGGAGGGCAGAGCTGCTTCTCAGGGCCCTGCTATCAAGCGCAAGCAGCCGTCAAAGAATACCAGCGATGCTCTCATCAGTCGGCAAGATAGCAATAAGTCCGTTGAATCAGGTATAGGACAACATACTGGAGGTCCCCTGAGAATTCAGACACAGATGTCCGCCTCACCGCAAGCCCCAGTATCCTTGGGTGGCCAGACGAGCGGATCTGGTGCGGCGGCATTCAATTCCGTTGGGCTGTCTCAGACCCAGGCGCAGTCCTACACGACAATGTCTCCAATGAGCCCTGTGCAAGTCACGTCATTCCCTCGGCAAGGCTCCAGCCAGTCTCCATACTTCTCACAGGATATACTACAGATGTGCAGTATGGGACAGCAATCCAACGAGATGTCACAGAACCTAGACGGGCAGGTTTCTTATGGATACACATTATCTCCCGGTAATCAGAGTATGATGGATGGCAGCACACCAAACTGGCATGCCAAGGGTCAAGCCAAGATGCCAAATCCGGATCAACGTCCCCTGAAGATAGATAGTGGGCAAGATCTCCCACAACAGCCTCAAAACCAGGGCCAGATTGGTGCTGCCGGGCTGATTGCATTTACAGGTAGTGACCTTCCCCCCGGATGGTTTATGCCTTTTGCTGGCATGGAGCCGCCTGGGTCGCAAAGTGTACAGAATCCTTCTGGCCAAGGGGAGACTGGAAGCAACCCTGCCATGGATCTATTTGGCTCCATGTTTGGAACCAATGGTATGACGATGCCTAATGCAATGGATGGCTTACGGCACACATTGTAGTCTTGCTTACATTGTTGCAGTTTGATTATCACCGATCACTGGTGTAGCCAGCCGTCGAGCATATTATTCATTTGTCACACTTGATGTGGCTTTCTTTGATATGTTTCCTTTCCCGCGTGAGATGGAAACAGGCACGGAAGCAACAAGAGGGAAACTGCATATTGAAGATCAGCAGGAGGGTGTATCATCGCCGGTGTTTGATGCACAGATAGACGACTTTTAGGTCTGACATGGGGACTATCATCATTGCTTTGGCAACACCATGACAAAGCTAGGGAGGCATTAGCGGCGTATATCCACGAAAAATGGGTCTGATTCGGATCGAGTTCACGTTCGAAGTTTCTTTCTTCTTTTACATTCGTCTTTGAATGCACATTTTCGGCTGGGCTGGTTGCGAAATACGAGGAGCGATTTGTATTTTATTATCATTGTCATTGGGCCTTTCGCTCGGAGCATAGATGGATCAGAGACTTCCAGGGTTGACAAAAGGGCAGCAGGAATGTATTATGTATATGCATGGTTCACAATACGCGGCGTCCGGTGCGACATGGTGTGGTGTATATCCAAAATGCGGGGGTGCATTGCATCTGATCGATATACCCGAAAACCAAATATAATGTAATTACATGTAAATGAATAGGGAACACGTTAATCCTTGCTTTGTTTTTTATCCTCAAGAAAACGCAAATCACCTGGCTGCTTCTTGTTAGTACAAAGAGGTATCATTACGCCAATCTATATGCCGTGTCATGATGAACTAATACGCATTTCCTTTCAGCCGCCCCTTTTTTGAAATTATACCCAACAGACACCACTTACTCGGCTTCCACGGCACCTCCCTTCTTCTTACCCTTGGATCTCTTTCTTTTCTTCTTTCTAGCGCCAACATCCCCAACCACATGTACGGACTCACCCGTAACGGCCTTGCCAGGTACTCCATCCATTATGACATCCTCCTCATCCATGACCATTTCAAACCCATACGTAGGCCCCTCCTTCTCAAACTCCTTGCCAAATGTACCTCTTCGCCACTCTCTGAGACGTGCCTTCTTACCAAGACGCTTCTTATCACGATGTTTCTTCTCAGGATCTCTAAAGGGCGCGAGTTTCTTGAGGCCGAAAAACTGGTTCAGATCCTTGTCCGAAGGGGCGAGGAGGATGTCTCGAGCCGTCATTCCGAATGATTGCGGGGACGTTTCGCGATACCTAAAGGTCATTCCGGAGTTGGAGCTAAGGAGCTCGTGGTTGTCGAGTTCAAGTTTGGAATCGACGAGGGCTTCTAGCTTGAAACGCTCTTTGCGGGCTTGCTTTTGGGATTCGAGGCGGGCGCGCTTGTGTTCTGATGTTTTTCGCTTTTTAGAGGGAGGCCCATCGGAATCTTGGTTTTCGTCGTCTTCGTCGCTGAGACTGATGCGGAGCTTGGCTTGGTCCTCATCTTCAAAGTCGGGGATGAGGTCTTTGATGTCAATGTCGTCGTCCCACTTGGGCTTCTCGACGTGCTTCTTCTTCTTCTTTTTCTCGATATCGTCGTCCCCGCCATCAGATGCTGCAGTGGCGTTATCTTCCATAGCGTAATAGTCGTCGCCAAATCGCTTCTGCATTTCTTCCTCCCACTTGTCATTTTCCCATGCTTCGTCAAGAAACTTCATCCATTCCTGCTCCGTTAACTCCTTGCCAACGGCACCAGCTGCCTGCTTGACCTTGCGGAGTTTCTCCTCGGTCTCTTCGAGCTTGAGCTTGCGCAAGCGGGCCTTGTCTTCGCGTCTCTGGCGCTTTTCCTCCTCCTTCTTCTGCTTCTCTATTTCTCTTTGACGCTGTCTGCCGGTCTTTTCCTCTCTTCTGACCGATCGCGCAGCAGCAAAATCACGTGCATAAGATTGGAGGACTTCGTTGCTCTTTTCTGGGTTCTCGAATCGCATGTTGTAGGCCTGTTCGAACTCATCGGCTCGATCATCATCCTCCCCTTCATCTGATTCGAAAGCTTTCCAGCGTCCTCCTTCCTCTGGTATCCAGGCTCTGGCGGACAAGAAGTTGGACAGGTATGTTTCAGGGTCCTTATCAGCATTGACTATGTCCAGGTCAGAAATTTTCAGGGCAGCCGCTCGCGCAGGGTGGACGCCATTTTCGGTCTTTGCTACTTCGGCGGGTGCTTTCTTCTTCATAAAACCATCGGAGTCGGAGTCATCAGAGTCATCCACTGCTCCAGCAGTGTTAAACTCTGATACAATACTCTTCCTGAGGGCGTCCTGTTCCTCGGCGTAGGTTTGCGGAACAGGGTCCTCTTCGCCGTCGGAGGTAGCTGCAGCTCCTTGTAGGAGCTTTTCTCGGTGATAATCTCGAAGAAACACGGGCTTTTCTTTCTTTTCCTTGGTCCCCACCGTGTCCTCATCGGGAAGGTCTATGAACTTGTAGTTTTTGTCATACAACCGCGGGTCCTTGTTTCGAATGGCATGTAGAGTGGCAGAGATCTGAGCGTCCAAGTCTTCGGTGGCTAGGAAACCATCTTCGTCTTCGGTTTCATTAGATGATGATGATGATTCGTCGTCATCATCATCCTGGCCCTTGCCACTGTTCTTGAACTTCTCTTCCACTTCGATAAGTTAGCTTGAGGCATGGCCTTGAGGCAGGTGGGATAGAACAGATATAAATACAAGGGATACAAGGGCCGCTTACTTACGCTTGTGCTTCTCTTCACGCTTCTTGTTATATTCGAAGCGACGGGCATATTCTTCATTAACCTTTAAGTCGCTTTTTTCTAACTGAGCGCCTCCATCAGAGTCGGAATCGCTGTCATCCAAGAGATTGCGTTTCGGCGGTTTCGGGCCATTGGACGGGCCCTCTGTTCCCAAGGCCATAATAGCGCTTTATGGAGATTCCGGTCAGTCGATTATCCCAAATTGTGTAGGCTGAATGATTGTACTACTAGCATGTAGAGTTTGCCGACGCAGCATTGATGGGGTCCGCACCAGGTCTAGAATTTTTGGCGGTGAACATTTTTCTGCCGCTGCGGGTACAGTCGCCGAGTTCAGCTTCGGCAGCACTTGAGAACTGCGTTGGTGCCAAGTACCTCCGTACTCGCACAAGGGTGTACTTATGTGTACAGGGTGTTGCGTCCACTAGAAGCTCAACAGCGCCCCCAGAGACACTACCAGGGCGTGTGCTGAGGCTGATGCATGTATCTCAAGGTTACTGGGCAATACGTAGGAAGCACGCAAGCAGGCGACAAGGCAAGCTCTTTCGGCCTCTCTGGTACAGTGGTACTATCATCTGCCTGGCGTGTTGGAGGCGCTGCATCCGCGACACCTCGACACCTCGTCGTCATCGCTCTGCGTCCAACTGCAGCCTTTGCAACTGACCTTCAACGCCATAACGCCCACCCCAACACAGCTGGATTCTCTCCCACTACCTTCAGCCAGCCATACCCCCTCGGTCGCCTGAGAGTTAGCCTGCTGCATACACCTATTCGTTGCAAACTATCCAGCAATCAACACCCACGAAGGCAGTCAGTCTCGACCAGCAGCAAAACGATGGCCGATTCTGCGAATGCTCCGAAACCGAGCAGCAGCGTCAAGCTGGTTCTTCTCGGCGAGGCTGCTGTTGGAAAGGTAGACTTGATCTTGTCACGCCGCCACCCTGCCTTGCTTCATTATGCTAATTGCCGCGCCTCAGTCCTCGTTGGTCCTTCGATTCGTCAACAACGACTTCCAGGAGAACAAGGAGCCCACTATTGGAGGTCAGTTGATCCGTCATCTACGGAACAGTAGCATGCGCAATAATTTGCAAGTCGCCTGTAGCAACAGTTAGCCAGCTAACACCACATGTCCGTCCCTACAGCTGCGTTCTTGACACAAAAATGTAATCTTCCTTCTCGCACCATCAAGTTCGAAATCTGGGATACCGCCGGCCAGGAGCGCTTCGCTTCTCTGGCGCCCATGTACTATCGAAATGCCCAAGCCGCCCTTGTCGTCTACGATCTTACCAAGCCTACATCTCTCATCAAAGCCAAGCACTGGGTTGCCGAGCTGCAACGGCAAGCATCGCCCGGGATCGTCATCGCTCTTGTCGGAAACAAACTAGATCTGGCTAGCGACTCTGCGACTGGAAATGAAACTGCTGAAGATGGTGAGGAGTCAGGCGACGCCCGCAAGGTCTCAACAGAAGAGGCCAAGGCATACGCTGAGGAGGAAAGCCTGTTGTTCTTCGAGACTAGCGCAAAGACTGGTCACAACGTTACGGAAGTGTTTACCGCCATTGCCAATGCCATCCCCGAAACGTCCTTGAAGTCAGCCAGAGGCCCCGGCGCCGCCGGTACTGCCAATCGAGCCGGCGAAGAGCAAAGAGTCAACTTGGGTGGTCCCAGGGATGCTGGTGCAAAGGATGGATGCGCTTGTTAGTTATAGGGCGCTGTGAGACTATTGGGTCAAGTATGCAGGCAGGGAATTGTTCGAGTTCTATTATTCTGCTTTGTGCTGGCTAATTGATGGTGTCTGATGCAAAGGCGTGCAATTCGGAGTCAAACGTTGTTCTTTTACTTTTACGTACTGGGAATCATTCTTGTGTTTATTCATCCTACCTTTGTTGTCTATCTAGATATTTGACTATAGTCGCTCCTATCACAGCGTCGTCGGCCTGGAGGGCAAAAAAGACAGACAGTCGCTGGAAATTTGAAACTATGACAATCAACGGGGCCCACGTTGTTGGAGTGAATGATCTTCAAGATGATCACTATGAAACCGCAAGAGTTTCCATGTATTTTGTTGGCGGCCTCTCAATCGAATTGAGGTTTTTGAACATTTATCGACTTTTCTAACAAAAATCAAAAACTCATCTTCATGTGGTGGTACGGAGTACATCCGTACATCTCTACCAACCTGGCTGGAGTGCGACAACAGCCAACTCTACCATCTAGAAAAACCATGAGCTCACGTCAACCCCAGCTCATTCAAATAAACAGAAAAAAAACATCCTCGCTCAGATTATCCCCCAGCCCATTCCCATGCCTTGTCAGCCCCAAAAACGGCTGTGAAGATGTGGTCCCTGTCAACCTCTTCCAACGGATGATCACGTGAGTTGCTGTTGATTTCACAGGATGGCCCACTTTTTTCTCAAAGAAGAGCGCCAAACTCCTCATTCAAAGCAGAAACTTCAAGTCGTTTTCCTAACAGATGTCGAGTATTTTTTTTTTTTTTTATCCAAACTTTTCATGAGTTGAAAAGCTGCATTTCACGGCGACCACCGCCAACTCGAAGTGGTCAAATATAAAGCACTTCTTCAGCACCAATTATCCTTCTTTAAATTACGCAATCACCACGGCGAGGACGTTTATATTTGCGATCTCGGTCCTTCCCCGATGCAGTCACGGTAGGACTGTTCAACCTGGATGTCGACGACATGGCCTCGTCCATTTCTGAGGCTCAGGCTGAGCTCATACGGTATGATGAAGGATATTTTGGAATGGGAATACTCATAACCAGAAGCTAACTGGGTTTTGAAGCTCTCTGTCGCCGGATGACATTCCCATAAAGTTGCGATGCGCAATCTGCAGCAAGCTTGCAGTAAACGCTTTTCGGTTACCTTGCTGTGAGCAAGCCATATGCGAAACATGTTAGTTTTCGAATGTCCTCAGCTTCTATTCTCTTGTGCAACGCACCGTCCTCTAACAAGTAGACCAGGTCAATCAAACCTCCTGCCCTCCTGCCCTGTTTGCGAGCACTCGCCTCTGTCAGCCGAGGACTGCAATCCCAACAAGTCCCTGAGAACCACTATCAAAGTATTTTTGCGTACAGCCGAGAAGAAGCGGGAGGCTAGCCGGCCGAAAGAGACCACGACCGCAGAGCCAGCCGAAGAGACACAGCCTCCTGGTAGCAAGGTCGAACATTCCGCTTCTGCAGTACCGCAAATCAAGGAACGCCATAGTGGTGTTCAAGATGAAGTGGGCACACATGCGACAGACGATGTCGTGCCAGAAAGAGCGCAGCAAAACGAACAGGTACGTTTGAGCAAAAGATGTACATACGGCTACTTTCCAAGGAATCAACTAACACTTTGCAAGGCGGATATATCTGTCAATAATGAATTAGCAGCGCGGGCCGACTTTGGAGGCGTAGTAGACAGTGCGTCTGCAAAAGGCGGCGTTCATGAGCCACGAACCGCAAACGAAGCTGAGGCGCGAGGAGAGAACGAGGCTGAGGAAGTCGATGATCAAGCTGGTAACGACGACGAAAATTACGGATCCGAATCGATGAACGGCGGCATATCCAACATGATGTTCTCAGGCTCTGGTGACTTTAATCAGATGCAGATGATGATGGCCATGCAAAATGGAATGGGCAACTTCCCAATGATGGGTATGTTTTTGCGTTTCGTCCTGTTGTCTTTATAGTCAGCTTGCTAACTCTTCTGCGTCAGGCATGCCGGGAATGGGTATGGACCCGATGACAATGCAGAACATGTACATGAACGGTGGTTTTCAAGGCATGGGCATGAACGGCATGGGAGGTGGGTTTGGAGGAGGATTTGGACAAGGCTCCAATAATAATAACTGGAACGGTTCGCAGTCGTGGAATTACGACCAGAGTAATTACAATCAAAATGCTATTGGCATGGGCAATGGTGATTTTGGGAATTTTAACTCGGGATTCCAGACAGGCTACAATCAAGGTAATTATGGTCATTTCAATGACTATCGCCGCAATAATTTCGGACGCGGTCGCGGCCGTGGCCGTGGCTACTACGGCGGCTACGGTCGAGGAGGCTACCAGTACAACAACATGCCCAACTATCAGAGCGGACAGTACTCACAACATGGTGGTCACAGTCATCCGGGCCAGGGTCTGGTCGAGACCCATGGACACGACGAATCCGGCGGTTCCAATGTGCCAGAGAATGACTCCAAGCAAGATAACGCCCAGGGAGAAGACCATGGAACACAAGAAGGCGAAAATGCCAGCGCTCCACAGGCTCAATCTGACGAGCCATCATCCCGTGACACTCAGGCTGCTGAAGCAAGCAGCAATATGGCCCGCCAGGGCGAGTCTGGGGCCATTCGTTCAGTCTTATCAGCTCCAGATGTGCCTATCAATGCCCCAACTGGTCCCAAAGCTATGAGACAAGGGCTACCAAATACTAGTCTTCATCACCTACGAGCCAGAGGTTTCCAAGTTGGCAACCAATCCCAGCAACCAGTGCCACCCTCTATGTCGCGACCATCGACTGGGCCCGCAGCAGCTACATCTCGCAGCCAAAGTGAATCCCATGACCGTGAACAGGATCAAGACGCTGCTCCTGATGATACTCACGACAGTAGGGAACAGTCCAAGGATTACGAGAGACGTGAGAAAGATGACGTTGATAGTCCGCCCCACAGCCGTGACCGCTCACGCTCCAGATCTGGAAGAAGCACCAGGAGCCGTAGCAGGAGCGGCAGTCGAAGCCGAAGCCACAAAGGCTCGCACAGGCGCCGGCGACAACGCTCCGAGTCTGTCAACGAGGATGGCTACGATGAATCCCATCGCCGAAAGAAGCATCGCAGTAGCAGAAAACACTACGACGACGACGATGACCAGCATTATTCCAAAGACAGCAAGTATGGTGAAAAATCCCGGTCCGTTTCCCCAGACGACTCTAAGAGGGGCAGTCATCGTAGTCACAGAGACAGGGACTATGAGAGCAAAAGGGAAAAGGACAAGGCCAAGAGTCGTGATGACGATCGTCATCGATCCCATCGGGATCGGGATCACGACTCTACACGCCGTCGTGACCGAGATCGCAACAGAGATAAGAAGGATCGCAAAGACAGAGACCGACACAGGGACAGGGACAGGGATCGTGATCGGGACCGTGACCGGGACCGCGA